GATAGCGATTCGCCCTATTTCTCCATTTTTGTTTTTGTGATCTTAAGGCAGACCAGAAATTAGGAGATAAATCGTATTGAGAATTCCCTCTTAACCAAAATTTCCATTGACTCGTTCTAGACCGCTTAAGTTCTTTTTTTATTCCTTCAGATTGAAGTATTCCTTGTTTATGAAATGAGTCTTTTATTTTTTTTTAATAAAGAAATTCTTTTCAATCAAGAAAGATGTTCCATTTTGTTGAAGAACAGACATCAAATTAGATACGTTCAAAAAACTCCTTTGTGATATTTTGTACAATACATATGCTTGTGACAAGTTAGATAAATCACCAAAATTCTCTGGCTTTTCCTTATAACGCTTATTATTATGCGTTTTTATATTTGAAAGAGAGTTCATTTTTGTTGATTCCACAAAGAGTTTTTCAGTCATTTGGCAAATAGATATAGTATATAAAAAAATATAGTTAGATATTCTTTGAATCAATAATTTTATAAAATAATGAAATTTATATCTTAATCTATTTTTTTTTATTTTTAACATTTGACAAAAATTTTTTGACAAGGCTAATCTCGAACTTTTTTTGTAAGGGCTCATATCTAGTTCTAGAGTCAGCCTTTTCTTATCTTCCGTAATTCTTTCTAGTTTTTTTTTAATTGTATTTGTCCTATGAGTAATAGCCTGTATTTTGTCTATCGGTGAATAATTTTTCCAATCTGTAATTTTTTCAATTTTACTCAAGGGTTGATTCATTATCTGGTTATTTATTTGATCATCTTTTTCTTTTTTTATTAAACTCGGGTGTATTGTTCTTTTTTCGTTTGAACTTGTTTTTTTTTTTGAAAACTTTTTTAAAAATTTGATTTTTACTTTTACAAATTTGTAAAGTTCCTTAAAAACAGGCTCGAAAAACGAAGGTGTTTGTCGTGGATGACCAAAAGGGTGTTCTGTTTCCCTTCCCCAAACTGTTAAAAAACAAAAGTCATCACGAGAAGTTAGTGATTTATATTCGTGCCAAGGTTTTAGACAGAAAGGAAATAAAATTTTGATTTGAATACCTTCTGTCAACCAATTTTCCGGAAATTTTTTTGTCAGCTAACGGAATACCATTATAAGTACACTTCACATGCGTTTCTTTATTCCATCCCTTTAAATCTTCAGACCATTCAGGAGTTTGAAATAGTAGCATACGCCCTATATTTTTCCCGATTATGAATGAAGGTAATAGAATTTTTTTTCTCAGAATTGATTGGGTTATTAATAACAAACCTCTTATTATTTGGGTATATGGGAAAGTTTCCCAGGCTTCCCCTATCTCTAACCGTTCTATTTCCTCTCGTCGTTTCTTTTCCTTTTTGGTTTCTCTTTTTATTATTGTTTTTTTTTCCTCTGTAGACTCTAAAATACCGAACTCGTTTCTGGATGACCATTTTATAAAAAGTCGTTTCAGTTGAGCCAGGTATGGTATAGAAAAAAAGGTTTTTTTCCTCATCCTGTCAAAAAAGAGAGGGGAATGCGCATTTGCTTTAAAAAGTCCCTCAATAACTATTTTACGTCTTTGAGTTCGCATAGAGTCTTTTATTAAGCCTTGGCGAAAATCAGATTGGTGCGGATATCGTAACAAATAAAGCTTATTATCCTCATCTTCCTTTTTCTTTTTCATATTTTTATCTTTCTCATCATTGTCGGATTTTATAGCTTGAATATTTGTCTCTTTTGTATTCTTATCTTTGTTTGTAGTCTTATCTTTGAGAGTCTTAGGCTCTTCAAAAATTAATACACTTATCCCTTTTCTTGAACGAATATCATGATCATCTGGTGGATTTCTAAAATACGATATTTGTTCCAATTCAGTTATTAATTTGTATGACCATCCGGGGACTTTTTTACCAATCTCTTCTTTACCTATTTTTTCTATTGCAGAATATTTTTTATCGTCTGTCTCAATTACATTTACTAAAAATTTTGTTAGTTGTTCTGAATCCGTTAAATTGAAACTCGATGATAAAGTTGAGAACTCACCAACTTGTAATGGTTTTTTTTTCCTTTTTTTCAAAAGGAGACATCAACAATAAAGCATGAAGTCTATTTAGCATAACCTTCTCTCTCAACTTTTTGATCGAAGTCTCGTTTATCAACGTTATATCTTTTTTTAGTCTTCCGCGGGAAGGCCCATTTAACAAGGGATCATACTCTTCTGGTAAGTATTCTTTTCTAGTCTCATCATTGTGTATACATAATCGCGTTTTGGTTGTTTCAATTTCTAGTATTGGGACTGATACTGGTTTGTCAAGATTTTTAATTCGATTTAACAAATCAATTTTTATAGAATTTAATTTTTGTTTGTTTCTAGAAACCCAAAAATTGTCCAATTTATTAGAAATATCTTTTTCTAATGATAAAAGGGGTATCTTTTTTTTGATTATTTGAAAAAACGTTGATAAACTTATCGGATGGGTAAAAGATATTCTATCTTTTCCATCACTTTTATGTATGTCAAAGA